ATATAACGTGTGGTTGTTGGGGTGTTTTTTCTCCTGTAGGAAGTGCTGTAGCCTCAGTAGCTGTTGATCCTAGTGGTCGTCTCCTGGCTACAGGACAAGAGGACTCTAGCTGTATGTTGTACGATATTCGAGGAGGACGAATGGTGCAGAGCTATCATCCTCATTCCAGTGATGTTCGTTCTGTTCGCTTCTCTCCAGGGGCACACTACTTGCTCACAGGATCATATGATATGAAAATAAAGGTGACAGACTTGCAAGGTAACGCACTACAAAGGATACTAGGTTAATTTTCAATTTGGTGCTTTTAATATTGAAGTTGTAAGAGAACTTGGTTCAAAGATCAGGTTTTAGTTTAAAAGGGGAAAAAAATAATAGAGCTTTGAAGGGTTTGAAATGTATATAAATGTGATTGTGTCTTCACAACTGGCTAGTTGCGTTGCTAAGAACATAGCCTATGAACTAAATCTTGGGGTTTCTGGGGGGATGTGTGTCTGATTATGATAAAAGAACTAATTAACACTTGCCTGATGAGATGGCCATTGCTTTCAGGCAGCAGTCATAAAATTGACCCTTAAAAAAAAGAAAAAAAGCAAAAAGTGTAATAATAATGCTGCTTATAAAAATAAGCATTGGGAAGAGTTAAGAAGAGAGAAGATATTGAGCACATCTAATAGACTTGATTGATGTGTGTCTGATTATGATAAAAGAACTAATTAACACTTGCCTGATGAGATGGCCATTGCTTTCAGGCAGCAGTCATAAAATTGACCCTTAAAAAAAAGAAAAAAAGCAAAAAGTGTAATAATAATGCTGCTTATAAAAATAAGCATTGGGAAGAGTTAAGAAGAGAGAAGATATTGAGCACATCTAATAGACTTGATTTTCTTGGCCCATTAAATTTTAATCACAGTGTTTAAAACCTGCGAATACTAGTATTTTAAAAGTTGTACTGTGTCTAGTAATGCCTAAAAGCCAGAACACTGGGGCCTTCTATTATACTGCACGGGGGGGGGGGGGGGGGTCAAGAGGG